TTTCAGTTGATTTGTAATGAATCCAGAATGTATGACATTTTTGTTTTTTTAATTGCATTACAGAAAATAAAGAACTTTATCACAATATTCTAATTTTCTGAGACAGTCCTGTATATATATATATGAAACCATACAAAAACAATGGTATTAACTTAAATTATTTAAAGGATATGATCTGTCATGCCATCATAAACATCCTTTCTCAAGTAGAAAATACTGTGTGTGCTAAAGTGGCTTTTACAATGTCTGTTGTTTTATAGCAAATTTAAATTCTCCATCACCGGCTGTATGAGAAAAATAAAGACCTTTTTGAACATTAAAGCATGTAAACATTTTGCAGTAGAGGCACAACATACAAATATGAACCTGAAAATGAGCATAAAAGGGCATCTTTAAAGTGGACCTATCATGCTATATTTGAAACGTATCTTGTAGGGCCATACCTATATAAAACATGTCTGTGAACAGATCATGCATTTTAGCCATGCCTCATTTCAATCTATTTGCTCTTTTCCAGCCCTGTTTTTGCAAGGGCTGATTCTGCTTTTGTGGCAGACTACAGCGCCACTTACAGGCCTGGCATATGTACTACAGCGTCTCCAGCGCTTTCGAGCGGTCTCTCATTCCCCTGATAGGTGGAGAGTTGCCCATATAGGCGGAGCACCCCTTTTCTGACGTCAGAAAAATTCAAATAATAATCAGCTCCGTTGCAGCCCCGTTTTTAGAGATTTGGGTATGGAGGAAAAGAGAGAGGGTTGTGTTTTCTGACACACCGGGGACACATATTCATGTATAAAAGACGTACAAAAGTGCATTTTGCATGATAGGTCCCCTTTAACTCACAAGATAAACATATTTTCTCAAGTATAATATATATAAATATGTGCTAAAGTGGCTCATCTGTTTTTTGAAAGCAAATTAAATTCTCCACCACCTCAGTCTCATATTAATACTCGGCTCGCCTCTGATCAACAGGGCTCCCACGTGACGCGCTGGCCCGGCTGCTACATCCTGCAGTGGCGCTTCCACAGCTCCCCGGCCTGCTCCGCCTCCAGCCTGCCGCGAGTGGACGACGTGCTGGCCTCGCTGCAGGTCTCCTCCCACAAGTGTAAGATCATGTACTACACCGAGGTGCTGGCATCCCATGACTTCAGGTCAGTTTCTTTCCCTGCTCGTGTCCTGTCTTTCTTTGTGTTACACTGAGGCTGTGGGGGCTGATCAAAAATCAATGTTGTGATATTTCTGGAAGTAAATTGTCTTTTCAGATAATGTTTACACCTGTTTCATGTGGTGGAAGACGTCCTCAGACTTATTACTTAAGTAAATAAGCAATGCTGAATTGTTAAAACAATCTTTCTGCAATTAAAATTCATGCTTTCAAAATCTAACTTCATTTAAATAAAAAACAGTATTGTAATACATTAATGTATTCATTACAGTTGGTGGGACTTTTTTTATTTCTTTGTACACTACTGCTGGATATTTTAACCTATAATCATATATTAATGTTTATTTATTATTTAATTTATATTTAGTTTTAGCTTTAAATCCTTATCAGTAAAATAACCCAAAACAAAAGCTGTCAAATAAATGTAATAAAAAGAACAATATTCACGTCAGTAAAAATATAAAATAGTGTCAAGAAGAAATGATCCAGGAAAGACATTTCAAAATTGTATTTATTTTCAGTACTTGAGTAAATGTACTGTACTTGAACACTTTTTATACGTTTTTTATTAGGTAGAATTAACATTTCTCCTCTGTCTTTTTCTGTTATTTCAGGGGATCCATGACCAGTCTGCAATCCAGTCATAGTGGTTTCTCTCAGCTCAGCGCTGCCACCATCTCCTCTAGCCAATCACACGCCAGCTCCACCGTCTCCAGGTAGCATCTGCCCGCCAGCTGCCAGCGACAGCAGGGACCTTAACCTAGTGACATCTTACTCAAACTGTGCCTTATGCCTCCAGAGAGAGGCAGCCTTACACTCACTAATGACAACTTGATCTAACAACTGAGGGTGAGGAGAGTATTAGGTCAAATGTTTATGAATAAATAAATGGTTTTTTTGGTTTTTTAAGATGGGTCAATACAGTATTATTGATAGGGGATCATGTATTTATAAGTTTCCAGCCCATATGATGACTAAGTTGTTTGAATAATAGTGTACATTATAATAGAAATTAGATTTTTACATACAATTAAATTAGGTTTCTGTACAATGCACACAACGCCTGTCCCTGAAGTTGCTTTTATTGCCCACAAGATGTCAGAGTCCTCTGCTCTGAAATCTGCAGTGTACTCTCCACATGCATTTCCCCTCACACTTTGTCTCTCCTTCTAAGAAATTGTAAGAAGTGTTGTTTAAATAAAGAATTTATCACAAGCATTAATATTGATGTGTGTCTTTTATATTACATTTTGAGAAAACAATAACTGCTGTGCGGGAAACGCACTGGGGGAAGTAATTTTGCTGGAACGATGGGTTATTAATCATTTTTACAGCAACAGGCAAGATGTTAAGAGCATGCAGATAATATGAAATCTCTTTTAAAATATTCTGCGCATGTCATGTTGATGTTTGGGCTTGTTAGGCAGAGCTGTTGAATTTTCTGGGGATGCTAATTCCAATGCAATATAGTGCAGCATCTCGTAATCGGGCACAGGTCCAGGCAGACAACAGATTTGCATAAAACTTTAATTTCCATAAACTTCTCCGATGCTTCCAGCTAAAGCTTAATTGAATTTCCTTGTGTTGGTTGTTTCCCTTGGTTTGCAAATGTGTGTCATGCTGCTGCATATCACAACACAATAATAACACAAAGTTAGGTAGATTGAGTTTTCTGAAAAGTTCTTCCTGGCATGTCCCGGTTGTCTGAGAGAAGAAGTGCAGTGACTGCCAGAAGCTTATTTACAGAATTAATCAGTCTGCTCTAATGACCTCCCAAGACACACATTGTCCATGTAAATAGTAGCACTTTTTTCTCTTATACATCTAAATTGCTATTAAAACCCGCTCTTCCAAAGCGGTTTGGTCATTTAGGCTGAATTAATTCCCTGGCATTCACAGGAGTGAAAAACAAGGTCTGTTGAGGTAACAACAAAGTTTGGTAAGTCAATCGAGTGCTCTTAAATAATGCATCACCTTATAATGTATCCACCTGCATGGTTTACCTGACACAACCTTGTGGAGGAAGGATGGTCGCTGACCTACAGCCACGTGGAGATGATTTATGGCCGCATTATTTATTATTGATCAACAAAAACTGTTGTTCTTAACCCTTTTGCCTCACCTTAAAAAAGTTGCTCTGATATTCTTAGAGGACAAACATGTCTGTCAAAAAACTGACATGAAGTGATTTGTCAATATGTATTTTCCCTTTCATTGAGTTATATCTTTTTACAAACCTTAGCCCTGATCATGCCTGCAAAATGTTTTTATTTGTTATGTTAAACCTTTAAATGCAAGTTTGTTTACCTAATGCTACTTAGTTTGATAGTGATTTTCCACAGTCCGATACATCTCAATGATGAGCACAATATTGATTATGATTCGTTTTATAATATGGTGCAGAAAACCTGGAAAGGAGCATGTTTGCCCCATAAGGCATCAGGGACAATGGCTCACTCTGGTGGAAAATGGTAAAAACTACAACTGTAAATCTGGGTCTTCGAATTGAAAGTGTAACATTAATGAATGTGTGATTTTATGTTGTAAGGAATCCAACATTTCCAATGATCTCAATGGCTACAATAACAAAAATCTCCCTCGACCAAATTGAAAGGCAATCCATCTTTGACATTTAACTTTGAAAAGAAAGAATTGATAAACTCACGGTGGCGCAAGAGGGAAAGTCATGGAATCACCAAAGTCATTAGGATACTGTGAGGAACATGAATGCCTTTAGAAAATGTCATGGCAATCCATCAGATATCAATTCAGATTAACCCCTTTTTCACTATTTTGTTCAAACCAGATGGATAAATGTTTGCACAAATAAGTACTGGTGTTGTTAATCTCATTAGATTCGAAGTAACCAATAACAACTAGCTTCAACAATCATGGATAAAGAGGTAAATATTACAGATTTTGTGACAAATGCATATGCTGTTGAGTCCCTGGACGTCTTTGTATTGAATGTATTTGACCATGTCATATACAAACTACTGCTTTCAACCTGGTATTTGGTGTGCTGATCATCGTAATGGATTTAAAAGAGATTCCATATTGTCACTAATCCTGTGGATAATATTTATAATAAGCTAAAACGTTTTGTTATCAGCCCCCCCAACTGCAATGTAACCTTTCCGCTTCTGTCAAAGCAGTTATTCATAAAGATATCGTTCCTGAGGAGAGCTACATTTTCCCATCTCCTCACTGTTATCCTTTTGGTTGCGCTCAATATCACAGATATGATCCAAGGATGATTATCTGGAATTTCTCTCAGAAGAAAGTAGCCTTAAGATTCACTCCCAGCTAAATCCCTGAGAAACTTGTCTCTTCGTCTAATCTGCCTCATAAGCTGTCTGACCGCTGATATATGCGAGACTGGAAAATCAGTCAATTTAAGATTTTGTATTATACTGCAAACAGGAACAGCAGATCTCTTAATTCTTTGGTGAGGAGGAGATCTGCATTGATAATGTGCTGCTGAAATAGTCTCAGTCTTCTTGTTACAGATATAAACATCCCAGCCCTCACTGGGAATATGAACATGATAATGAATACGTTTCACTCAGAAACTCCAGAGACAGGCGTAGAGAAAATCAGCATGGGGCTGTTCTTTTTATATTTACATCTCACAAACAGGTTGTACTTTGCCAAATAATGACTTATTCTTCCCCATGTCGATACTCTTTTTCTGATTCCAAGGTTAAATAATAAAACATAAAGTGTTCAAAACCAAACAATATATTCCAACTTCACCCATTCAAATGATGGATGGATATTTTTACCACGTTGTATTTGTTTACAATCAGGGAATGTGTTGTGAGTCTTACTGCAGTGGGTATCTTCATTAAAACTTAAGCCTGTATTTCATTCGCTTCATCTGACAATCCTGACCTTCCCACTAATTAAAAAGGAGAGAGATCTGGATTAGTGTGCACTACATTATTTTTAGGAGGCTTGACACACTTGAGAATAAACTTTGTCCCGGATGTTTTGCATGCACAAATATGCAGCTTGAATCGAGGCCCTGTTTTTAATGTGATTTGTGCAACCTGGAAAACATTAAATGTGTAATGCCTCCTCCATCTGAGTTGTGGGCCTGTCTATTTAACTAATCTCATATCGGCTGGGCTAAAATTCATTTTCTGACTTGATGTACTACTGGGCCTAGTTAATATGTCCACAAACAAATAGATACAGTCACGTCTATTTATCTCTGATGCTTCATACTAACTCTCATATTGTATCACATCGATTTCCTCCGCAACAAGAGAGACCATCAATCTAGCTTCAATTTAGGCCAATTTCTGAGCACTGCCCTCATTTGCAAAGAACTGTCAAGACTCTGCTAACGTCACATGTTGTTTTTATCGGTTTCCGGACATCAGACCAGTTTTAGTTCTGTGATGTTTTCTTGGCTCACTGACTTCTATAGTTGACATTTCCATTCCTCTCACTCTAAATGGGGGCTGCAGTGTGAAGGTCATTATGGGCCTGCCCTCCTTAAATGTTTCAGTGAGGACACACATTTATCCATGGCTTGTTTGGACAGAATACCAAACTTGAAGTGTATCTTTGGCAATCTTGCAATATGGATTGCTTGTAAACAGGTTTTAAAATATCTAGTGCATGAAAGTCAATAGCCTACTGTTATGAAAACCAGCAGAAACAAAAAGTAATATTTTTGAAAGATGAATTAATTAATGTGATTCTAAGGCAAAGCAAATGTATTTATAGAGAACCTTTCAACACGAAAAACTAAAATGAAATATATTTGAGATATGGTGCAATGGAATCACATTATAAAAGGACATTTAAAAACAGTCATTCAGAAACGAAGAGGATAAAATATAAATAAAACAAGCTAAAATAGAATAATATAGGTATAAAATATAAGTTTAAAAATTACAGTGCAGTGTTAGGTATTTAATGATTGCCTAATGATGACTGTTTGTAAATAGGCATTGCCAACATTAACCATTACCTTTGGGATAAGGTTAATAAAGATTTGTTGGCGGTAAGTGAGAACAAACAAGAAGAAACCTCACTTCCGGTTTTCACAATTTGGTTCAAGTGGCGGAAAAAGTCTCAATTAACATGCTTCCTGGGAGACGGGCCATAAAGTGCCAACTTCAAGAAAATACTAATAAGAAAACAAAGAGGGAAACGGATTATTTTCATGTTTCAGTTTGATAAAGGTCTTCCTCCATGCCTCTGGAAACATCTTCAAAACAGTGGTAAGTGTTGTCAAAACTATACCAGCGAAAGAAAAAAAACGAACTAAAACAAACTCTGTTAAACTAACTATACATACAGGCCCGGTTCTATGGGGGTGCATAAGGGTGCATTGCACCCTCAGTTGAGTCGTTATGCACCCTCATTTGAAAAAAAATTAAATATATAATAATAATAGTAGTAATAATAATAATAATAATAAGAAGAAGAATATAGTTGAAATAAAATAAATTGTGGTTGAATAACATTGTCTGCTGCATTTATTTGGTCAATTTAAACGGTAAGTAACGTTATTATGTCAAGTGCGCGTGACCTGTGCCGCTGCGCGTTCGTCATCTGCAAGGTGCTTACACAGAAGTCAATGATGGACATCAGAAAATGATTAAAACAACCAGCCCTTATCGCCAGCAGTAACACTGCATCTACTGCAGGTAATAACAGTTCAGATCATGGCTTTGCCCGCCTCGCCCACGGAGGCGGAGCAGCCGCAGCGGTCTTCGTTGCTCCAAACACCGCCACCCCTCAGCGGCCCGCAAGTGCCAGAGGACCTCGGCAAAACAGAGCCTGCTATTTCAAAAAGTACCTAACTCGCCTGTACAGTGGGGTACGCTCATTTTGCAGCTCATGGTTTCAAAACAGATTGGCTGGAATATTCATCTAAAAAAGATGCCATCTTCTGCTATGCATGTAGACATTTCGGTTCAAGTACGTCAGATGCCTTCACCACAACTGGCTACAACAACTGGCGCCATGCTCTTGTACGTGATAAGGGACTGGGAAGGCATGAATCAAGCAAAGAGCACATAGATACATAGATCTCTTCATTTTGCTCTCAAAGTGCACCAGATTGATGCTTTTAACTTCAAAATATTTAAAAAAATATATTCCCGGGGGAGCATGTCCCCGGACCTAGAGGAGGTGAGGACCCTCCTGGAGAAGGTGAGGACCCCCCTAGAGGGTGTTATGTCCACTCCCCACTTATAAAAA